CTTGCACCGGGCGGTGAGAGAGCAACTCAGAGGGGTTTGTTAACCCGCTCGCTAAGAGATAAGTGCCACAGAAACGTGTTTTAGTGTTACTAGTCGAGAATGAAGAACTGTGCAGTTGGGGGTTAGCCCAGGACTGTTCTCGCGGGCCCGCAGCCTCCCTCCCCTCATGGCACCTTCTTGCTCGTCTCCTTCAGGGTGGGTGTTCCCCAGGGGAGCGGGGCCGGGGACCCGGCCGGGAGCAGCGCTCCGCGGGGGCTGGGCACGGCCTTGGGCTGCCGGTCGGGCGGCGGATCTGTGATGTCCTCTCCTTCCCCCAGGCGGCGGGACCGGCTTCGTGGGCAGAGCCCTGACGCAGCTGCTGCGCAGCCGGGGGCACGAAGTGACACACGTGTCTCGCCAGGGGGGCGAGGGTCGCATCAGCTGGGTACGAGATGAGGGCGGCCGCAGGAGGGAGAACACGTCAGGGCTGAGGAACAAGCCTCTTGCCCTGGCCTGCTGCGGCACACAGGGAATCCGCGGTGGGGAATGGGGCTCTTGGGATGTGCTCTTGAAAGATCTTCACGGTCAGGATTGAGTATAGCTGTTCAGCAGGGATTCTTGGCAGTGCTGAGGATCACTCCACCACAAGTGCTGCACCCACTAACAAAAAAAAAAGCACACATATGCATCAGATTTCCTGGAAAAGGCAGTATGCTAATGGATTCTCAGAATTAATTTACATAGTCTGAACATGAGTAGTAAAAATAGAGAGAGGGTCTTCTCCCCCCCTTAGGGATCCCCACAGCCTTTTTCACACCGTCCCTTAGTGAACTTTAGGTTTCTTGTGTCCGTACATGGTCACAGAGTGACCTCATCAGTCCTTCAGCTCCTGTTTGTTCCAAGGGGGTTAGTTTAGACCAGCTTATCTAGACACTGCCATCTTCTTAGACACTTGGTTTTTAGGTTCCTGCTATTAGGGATGTACTCAGGGACTTTTTCAGACTGTCCAAGGTCTGTCTTATCTTTACTAGGCAAGGAGTTAAAGGTTTTAAAACATAAGTGGGTAATGACTACAGAGGGTAGTTAGGAAAAAGTAAAAATGAAATTATATGCGTTACAGTAAAATACAGGAAAAAGTAAACCACAAGTGATGTTTGAAGTCTTATTTTACAGGTACATTAGCAATTTCAAGTATACTTATAGCAGGTTCCCTTCACTCTTGGGCTCCTGGGTGCTCCGTGGGTCTTAGTCATTGGGGTGGGTACTGCTGTAGCTCCAAGGAGCAAAACCTCCATTCATGCTTGTGCTTCAGGCAGATTTGGGAAGGAACTGGCTGGAGTTCATAGGAGCCCACCCTGCTTGGTTGTTGGAAAGGCTTGAGCAAAAGGGACGCTCAGTGTGTGATGTCTCTTGTTATCCCTGCCTAGGAAAAGTTGTCCCACTCTGGACTGCCCCTGTGCGACGCCGTGGTGAACTTGGCTGGTGAAAATGTCCTCAATCCTTTCCGCAGGTAACTTGATCTCCTGTAGTGCTCATGGGACAAGGTGAAGGCAAGACAGCCTTACTGTGTCAGAGATTTTGAAAGGGATCTGGGGAGGAAACAGAGTGTGCAGGAAGCACTTGCGTTACCTAACTGTGGCTATGTGGGTCCTCAAGTATCCAAAACATTTCTTTGGGCCTGTTAAGTTCTGAAAGACTTTAGGAAGTCTGTTTTCCTTCTGGATTGTCAGACAGAGGCCAGGGAAAGAAGTTCCACATTTCCCAAATGACACTGTATGCCTACATTCAGGTAATGCTAAATCAGAACCAAAATTTGATTTCTGTGAGGGTGTTTTTGGAAATGTGTTCACCAGGCTGTTGGGAAGAGTTCACCGCACTCAGCTCCTCTGCTACCTTTGTCATAAGGCAGTCCAAAAGCTGCAGCCTTTTGTGGGAAGGAGAGCCACGAAATCCCAAAGTCCCTGTGCACTTAGGTAGTAAGGTCCCATGTCCTCCCCTTCCTCTGGGGACCTCTCCTGTGCTTGTGAGTGGGTGTCTGCTGAAGTCCCCCTTGGTGCTGTTGTTTTCTGAGATGTCCTTGTGAGCACTATAATCAGTTGCTCTCCTTTTCCCAGATGGGGTGATGCCTTCTGCCGGGAGGTCATCAGCAGCCGGGTTGAGACCACCAAGACTTTGGCTAAAGCCATTGCTGATGCTGAACAGCCACCCCGAGCTTGGGTTGTCATCACCGGTGTAGGTATTGGTTGGACCTGGCCAAGGCATGACATATGCTGACCTGACACACACGTCTTGCCTTGAAATACCACCTTTATTGCCATCAATGTCACTGTGTTAAAGCAAGCACTGATCAGCTTTTTTGTACTGCTGGAGAGGAATTTGAGTCCCTGTGCTTTGGTGTCATTAGGACAGGACCTTTTCTCCATTTTCTTGTGAAAGCCTTTAGACATCCTGTAGAACAAGTTTGTCTAAGCAGGGCCTGAGCTGAATCCCTCTGCACTTTGCATTGCTGCTTGCTACGGTCTTTAAAGCTGCCACAGTTTAGGATCTGTGATGACCAATTTTAGAGCAAGCACTTTTCTGTGCAGCCAGATCAGTGTGTTGATACTGCTCTATTTGGTTCTTGGGGCTTCCAGCTCAGCCTGAGTATTAGTGCATCTTGCTGAACTTGCAGAGAGCATTTGTAGTTCAAACACTTGTCTGCATTGCCATCAGAGAGATCCTGTGCTGTTCATTTGAGGATGTCCCTGATGGAGTTCTGGGTGCCTGGCTGCAGGAAAGAGGGGGGTGGTGGCCCATTTTGGGGGGGGATGGTGGGGTGGTGGTGGTGTCATGATTCAACCCTGACACCCTTTCTGCTGTTACACCCACAGGCTATTACCGCCCTAGCCCCACAACTGAGTATACTGAGGACAGTCCGGGGGGGGATTTTGACTTCTTCTCGCGCCTGGTGAGCTCCTGGGAGGCTGCAGCTCTCATCCCTGGAAGCCCAGCTCGTGGTGTTGTGGTGAGATCTGGTGAGATGGGGCATCATGTCTGTTTGGGGTGGCTCTGCTTTGGTGCTGGGGCAAAAGGCGGAAGAGGAGGGAGAAAGACATCAGGTCTTGTGCCTCTCCTTGTTGGGTGCTGTTTCAGACCAGCCCTCTAAGGACTGTCTCCTGGTTGTAGGTCTAGGGGTGAAGTAGGCTTTTCTTCCTTTGGGGAGGGGGTCCTGGTCTCACTCTGTTCTCCCCACAGGTGTAGTTCTGGGCCGAGGTGGTGGCGCAGTCTCTCAAATGCTCTGGCCTTTTCGTCTGGGACTAGGAGGCCCCTTGGGCTCTGGGCTCCAGCCCTTCCCATGGATCCACATTCGGGACCTGGCTGGGATTGTCTGTCATGCCCTGGAGAGTGAGTGTGTGCAAGGTGTCTTAAATGGTGTCTCCCCATCCTCCTCTGCCACCTCCAATGCCACCTTTGCTCAGGAGTTTGCTGCAGCCCTGGGGCGCCCAGCCCTGCTGCCGGTGCCTGCTTGGGCTGTGCGGGCTGTCTTTGGGGCAGAGCGGGCCATCATGCTGTTGGAGGGACAGAGGGTGGTGCCAAAACACACCCTGGAGAGCGGCTACCATTTCATCTTCCCTGACCTGTCTGGAGCTCTGAAGGACATTGTGGCTTGAGGACTCCTTGGCTGGGCTGGGTTGGGCCCTGTTTTTGTGAGCTCCCTGGCTCACATGCCATCCACTGGGTGAAGGAGGGTGGCCCTGGCCTTTCTTGGCACTTCCCCATCCCAATACAGAGAGATCGAGCTATCTTTTCGCCTTCTGTGTCCCTTTGTACATCCCCAGTTTGAGTCATCCCTCTTACTGCCATCTGCAATATCCACATGACCTACTTTTGGGGAAGGTCACAAGCCCCTCTAAGGATTGTGATTTCTAAATCTGCCATCTTCCATTTTCCACAGCGTGCATGTGAGCTGCTTGCAGAGCAACGGGGGTGTGTAATATCTCCTCCCATGAGAAACGGGGGTGACAGCAGGAAAGAGGTGTTCAGGTGTTGTAATTCTCCTCCATGTTACTGGAAGTCAATCTGTCTGTTTCTCCCCATGTCTTTCCCCATGGTCACACAGAGACCATTGTGCTCTTCTACTTTGCCTGTCTCAGTCTCATAGAGAATGGAGTTGTGGCCGTGGGAGAAGATCCATCTTGAGGGTGCACAAAGGATGCTGGATACGGATGGCTTGGAGACTTTGTCAACTCCTTTCTTGTAGTGTCTCTGTGCTGGTACCAACTTGCAGTGTCAGAACCTCCAGTTGAGTCTAGGCCCAAGAGTCACACGCTTCCAGGGTTGCATGACACCAATGAAAGAGACCACTGCATTGCCAGTGTGAAGGGACAAGGGTGACAGTGGGACTGTTGCCCCTGGACTGCTCTTGAGGCCTTGGGTAAACGTCAGCTACATCTGAGCCTGTGCTGGGGAGAAACTGGGTGGTTGGTTCATTGTAGAGGAGTTTTTAGTGCAACAGGGACATGGCAAAGTCTGGGACTTGTACAATGCTGGTGTGAGGTAGTGCAAGGCACTGCTTTAGTCTAAAGGGAGAACTTCAGCTGTTGCCTTTGTTTTAGTTACCTAATTCCAGACAGGGTAGTTTTCCCTTATTTGTCCCATGAGGTGTTATTTGTGTTCATGGGTTTCCCAGTGATTGGGAATTGAGAATTTCCATGCTACCTGGGCTGCCTTGGGAAGCGGTACCTCTTCTTTTGTGGAGAACATTGCAATTTCATCACCTCATACGGTAAAAAAATGTATCTACATACTTCGTTTAACCCATTTTCACATGCCAGAGTGGGTTGCGGGACATGAAAGCTAGAGAGCAGCTAAGTTCATTATAGCACTGCTTCTGGACAAACATTCCTAATGTGATGTCATTTGGGGCTAGAAAAATACATTACAAAAAGCATTAAAAAGCAGTTAAAAAGACCTGGTCCATTCCTGAAATAAAATCCATCAACAGCAAGAGCAGTCCATATGTTTTTGGTTTATGTCACGTTAATGTCGTCACAGTAGCTGAATGGTCAGTCTTGGTGGAGTCTCAACCTCCCACTCACCTGCCTCTTTGCTTAGTCCCTACTGGAGACAGCATGCCAGTCTGATGACTTCCTGGGCAGGAAAATGAGAGTGGAACTGTGCAGCTGGAACTGGAAATAGTCCTTGCAGTCAGTGTGAGCACATCCAGGTGAGCTGAGGCTTTGGGAATAGTTGTGAAAGACACATCACTTGCTTGGATTGTGTCTGTGCTGCTTATAAGTTAGGTGCAGATTCCCTCCTCTTCCCATGTGCCTCAGTTTCCTGTCCTTGAGAGTGGGCTGGCCTATGAGTTACAGGTCCAGTTCACTGGGGGGGAAATACAATGGGGACAATCAGCAGTGCTTTGTCTTTAGTTACTCCAGATGCCTGTTTAGAGCCTTGGACTTCAGGCTGCTTCCCCAGATACTGTGAGCTACAGCATCCTTCTATCAGGCAGGCTGGTTCGGTTGTTAGGCCCAGTTAGGTTGTTTCTGTATCTGTATGTACCTTGATTGCAACAGCTTTGGATTGTGATTGGAAATAAAGACAAGTACAGCTGAGGAAGCACTGGCAACCCACAGCTCTTCTGAAAGATAGTTGCATATCCCATGAAAGGCTGCCACTGGGCAGAGTTCCCAGGCCTTGGACTGCCTGCCTGGGTATGTAACTCAGGATTTTGAAGGGTTGTTTCTGCATGATATTTGGCTTAAACACATGTCACAGGACTTAAAGGAGCTTCTGATACCTGCATCCTAGTGTGGGATCTGAAAACACTGGCTGCTGGGTCTGATAAGGAGTTCCCATCACAATAAATTCATAGGCACACACCATACCCCTTTGTCTACTGTGGAGTCAGAAAATGTGTATTAGGGTGACAGCAAGCTGAGATCTACACTGGATTTTGGACCAGTGTCTGGTTTTGATGACCATAAGGAAACCCTGTCCCAGAGGCTGCCGGACTTTGTGATCCAAAGTACAGCTCTTAGGCTATTGTAATGCTGGCACAGCCTGTCCTGTAATGCTGAGTGCTAGCAGAGTGTTTCTGCAAACGTGTCTGAGCCAACTCTAGTGCCCCAGATGCTCTCTGGAGATTTATTCTGACCTGGGCCAAGTCTCTGCTCTTTTAGAGGTGAATGCTTACAATTGTTAAGATCTGTCAGGAGCAGCAGCTGCCTCCAGCAGCCCCAGCCCAGCACCCTCCTGCCTGGCCAGTGGCCTCCCAGCCTGGTGCCCAGGTACCCAGGCTCTCTGCCCAAGCAGAGGGACACACCTGCTGCTTTCCTGTGTGCAGGTTCAGTCAAGCCTGAAGCTGAGTAACCCATCAGAGGCATGTGCACACACATGCAGACAAAGGGCACTCTGGCAGATGGCACTGACATCACTGACAGCACGCACACATGGGACCCACATAACAAGCACAACCAGCTGAGCCTCTTCCCACTTGGGCTGGCAAACTCGTGTGACACCCTCAGGGTTCTCAAGCAAGTGCACACTCATGAGTCCCTCAAGCACCAGCATGACACCTCCGTCTGCCTGGCACCACTACCTGGACCCAAACCCTCTGACCCCCCCACGGTACCTTACTCACCAGCTGTCCCAACTTCATACACCAAACACACAGCATTCACACACTTGTCCTACAGGCACCCCACACTAGCAGGTACCCCCAGATACTAGCATGGATCCCTTGCCAACCTGATACCCCTGCCTGGACCCCAGGCCTGCTACTTGCCAGCTGTTCCAGCCTGATGTTCACTGGTGGATGCACACTCATCCCCAGTTTGTGGGGGACAAAGACCCTCCTCCCCGAGAATCCAGCAGCAGGCACAAGCTGTGAGCTGCTGTCTCACTCCCGCCACTGGTGCAGAGCCCCTCACTCCTGCTCCCCCCAGTAAATGGTGTTGTGAACATGCAGTTACCACCGCAGTGGTTGTAGGTGAGGCCCCACTGACACCACAGGCCAGGGGTGTGTTCTCCTCCAGTCTGACTTCAGTACCTGGCACCAAATCCACTTCTTGGATCCCCCAGTAGCTGGTGTTTAGTTCTTGCAGCACACATACACGGGGTAGAGTGAGATTACAGAGAAAGTTATGAGAATGTTTAGTAAGAGGACAGGACAGGGTGTGGTGGTGTAGAGCTCAGCGATACCAGCACTGACTGGCCCATGTTTACACCTGACCAGCCTCTTTTACACACCTTTTCTGTTGACTGTCTTCTTTGTTCCTCCCATCTCCCCCTCCTTTGCACATTCCCTCAACAGCTGACATGGTCCCACTGACTCCATACAAAATACCGGACCCAGGTTTGCTTCCTTACCAGTTGCAAAGTCCTGGTTGCCTTTGGCTTCTTGAGATCTCATCGGTTAGTGTGACTGATGACGTTTGTTTCTGGTTATTGTCTCTGTTAATGCTAATTGGTCAGGTTTTATGACTGACTGTACCCCTCCCTTTCCTTAACATCCCAACTGTAAAAATAAATGTTCTCAGACTTACTCCACACATCCTTCCCTGTTAGGGTGACCTGGATTTTTCTCATCACAACCTCCCTTATCGTATATTAGGTTTATCTCTGTATGTTCTTGTTTATGGCTCCTTTGACCAGATATCTTTAAAAAAGCAGACATGCTCCTTCCACATCCCTGACACCACACCACTGGCTGGTAGTAGTAGAAGAAGCTGCACCACTCCTCACTCCCATAGAGCCTCAGTGGGTCTCGGGCTGCAAACATTTGGGGCAGGAGTCCGACTCCTCTGGGCATTAACAGGGGAGGAGGGAGGGTGCAAGGGCTGCACTTGCTGGCCACCCCATCAGAAGCAATAGACGTGAACACATTGAGGCTCTTAAGATCAGTAACACTGCTGTAAACGTAACAGTTCACATAGGTAAGTCCAGTTGTTTGGCTTCGATAGCTGCACCTCTCCAGGCACTGGGTCATGGCATGTCTGTGGCCAGGTAGATCCTGCAGGTTTGATCTCATTCCGGCATAGCTGAGTGATCTGCACTATTGACCTTCGGGGTTAGCTCTGTCCTCACTGTTGAGTTGCAGCTCAGTATCAAAGACAGCTAGTCTTAGTTCTTAGATTTTGGAACGAGTGGTAGTTCTGCACCATTTGAAATGTTAGTCCATGTTGCACATTCTTTCACAAATTCTAAGACATTGCTGTTTTCTTAATTAAGGTTGGCATTTCTCTTCCTGTACCCCTTCAGTTCTGGTGAACCATGGCTCAGACTTGACTGGGACAATTTTCTGAGGTTTTAGGAGCATATTGTGACTACTGCTCCTATAGATTTCCCAGGCTAACCCAAATGTCCTTTCTCACAGCAGGAAGAACTATAAGTGAGAAGCTGGAATCCAAGACAAGCTTGTACCTTCCAAATTCCCCAATGTAGCGTCCAGTCACATACACATACCCTCCTCCCCCTGACCTGCATGTAGGGAGCATGCCTTGATTCAGCACGTACACAAAGACAAAGATATGCACATCGCTCCCAACTGGAAGTGCCAGACTATGTACGTGGGGGCACAGGCTGGGAAGGGAAAGAAAAGCTACTGTCAAGGACAACTGCCACTCAATCTAGTTACTTCCTTTTCAGGTTCTGGTTCTTCAAAGGATTACTTGTAAGACAAATTGAAATAACAAGACCATTAGTTATGATATTTCAGGATACTGGTTTTTCATACTTGGTAACATGTTAATCTGCCCTCAATGGGTATTTGATGAAGGTTAGTGTGGACAGGTGTGTGTTGTTCCTTTCTGTACTCCCAAATGCATTTTACCTGCAATTTACACCTGACTGGCCCCTTTTATACCCCTTTCTGTAAACACCCCATCTCCCCTTCCCTGTACATTCCTCATGGGTTTGTACAGCTCTAGCTGTTCCCACACCCCTTCCAGCTCCTGTCTGCATCCAGGGTCTCCCTGTTTCACTGGTTCAATTGCAAAGCCCCTGCTGGTCTTCCTGGAAATGTCATCTATGATTTCTTGATAACCCATGAATGAATGTGAGTGGTGAGGTTTGTTTCTCGTCATCTCATGTTTGTTTTGTCAGGTTTGTGTCTGTATTCTGGTTTATTGTCTCCATCTTTCTTATCATCCCATCTGAGGAGGTCACTGATCAGATAAACTCACTGGACTAAACATTTTCACACTGTCACATACCCTCATCAGTTAGTGTGACTAACCAGGTTTGAGTCTCATCACTGCCTCCTTTGTCAGTCAGGTTTGCGTGCCTGTATATTCTTTTTTATGGCTTTCTCCATTTCTTTTTTTTTTTTTTTTTTTTTTTATATCTTTCCACGTAGCCTTACAGAAGGGACCTGTGTGAGGCAAGTGAGGGGCTCACTGCTGGCAGTTGAAGCAGGACCACGGTCACAGCCTGTGTGCCTGGTGCCAGTTGCTGGGGGGGTGAGTGTCTGTATCCCCCACAGA